AAGAGAAAAAAAGAAAATCGAAAAGAAAGGTTTCAGGTATGGTAACAAATGAGGTCATCGGAAAATAGTAGTTCGTCACCGGGTGAAAGCCCACAATTGGGTAATCCTTGGGATGCCCTTTTAAAAAATTCATTAACGCCTCAAGTTGTTGGAAGAAATGATAAAGCGATACGTGATTCAAACAAAAATTCATCATCAAATAATAGATCTGGAAGTTTTTCATGGAAACAATTATCATTTCGAAAACTTAGCCTAACCGATAAAGATGGAATTCCTCCACTACAAAGGTAATTCGATATTTTATTTATACTAAAAAGATTATATAACTGGATAATAATGATGATATTTTTTTTTTTTTGCTAAAAAAAAAACTGACGTCATAAAATTCACGTAATAAAAAGAAAATTTTTTACATTTTTTGGTGGAAATTTGTTTTGATTTCCAAATCGATGATTATAAACAAACAAAACGTCTACGTAACAAACATAATTTTTGGTTGTTGTTGTTGTCGACTTTCACTCGAGGAAAAATCGAATAAAATTTTTACGTTTTTTTTTTATTTCAAAGAGTTTATTGTTTTTAAAAAAAAAAAGCGTCAATTTTTTTTTTTTAAATTTCCACGACTTATTTCCGTTGTCAAATTTTTAACTTTCTCTTTTTTAAAAAAAAAAAAATTTTTAATTAATTAATTAATTAATATTGAGTAATTAAGTGAAAGCATTTTCTTTTTAGTGATAAGAGATTAATAAACTGGAAAATTATTGATAAGAAAAATTTTAATCATTCTTTCTTCGAGTTATCTTAACATTTAACGATGTTATTATTAACGATAAGTATCTCGCGATGGTATTTGAACCTTAAATTTGTTAATTTTTCGTCATTTTACACAAAAACAAACAAAATAACGACAAACAGCAAACAAACAAAATAAAAACAAACAACAAACGAACAAAAAAAAATTTTTTTTTAAATTTTCCTCCAGCGAATTTTTGTTTTAAAATTTTTTTTTTTTGTCATATTTCACTTCCGAACTGTCCTTCAGGAATTTTATCATCGATTCTATTATTATTATTATATTATCATTATTATTATTATCTATTATTATTATTATCATCATCATTCATTATTATTATTATTATTAACATCATCATCGAAACTCATTAAATTTTTAAAACTTTTTTTTTTTTTTTTAATAATCAATTTAATTTCCATTAAAAAAAAAAAAAATTTTTTTATTAGGTATCATCAAGGTCATTACAATCGATCGATCGATCGATCGATCGTATCGTACCTAATCGAGTCACCAAAATAATAATAATAATAATAAAATTCGGTTTAATGTTTTTCGTTAACGTTCGTGTGCTACTTATAAAGAAAATTTTCTTTTTAAACATTTTGACCAAAAAAAAAAAAAAAAGGTTTGAAAAAAAATAACATGTGCAAACATTAAAAAAAAAACTTTTTTTTTAATCGTTTGTGACATTTCCAGCTGAGGTTGAATGTCAGGATCAAGGTTTTTTAAATATTTTCATAACTCACAAAAAAAGTGAAATCGTGCAAAATGATTTGATAAACATGTTATGATTATTATTGTTCGTTGGCGTGAATTATAAATAATTTATTATTATTATTATTAAATAAACAAGCATTGTTATGAGTTTTGTTTGTGCACGAAATCTTTCTTTTTTCTTTTCTTAATTATTATGAAAAACCTTGAATTGATTTAATTAAATTTTTATGTAATAAAAAAATTTTTCATAAAACATCTCGAGTAAAATTAATAATTATTTTACTGTCGTGATAAAAAAAAAATTTTTTTTTTTAATCATAACAACTACAACAGTTTCGTGATGAAAAGATGATGATGATGATGATGCGATGATTGTTCGTTATTATTATGTACGATTTTGATTCATAACTACATTTTTTTATAAACATAACAATCGGTTTAAACTGTCACAATGCGAATAAGTTAAGCATTATGCCAACTGTAAATGATACTACGATTGAATTTACCACGTGACTATCACGTTATCTGATAAGGGTAGAATCTTTTGCGTTACTTTTTTAATTACGTAATTAATGATAACATTTGGTTTGAGTTAATTAGTCGTTTGGAAAGGGGTTGCGTTGAATGTTTTTGAAATTTTATCATTAATGTCGGGATGAATTTAAATTCGTGGGAAACAAAAGTTTCTGGTACCCCCCCCCCAAAATAAGAAAAAAAATTTTGGAATATTTGCCGAATGGCCACATATCCAGCCCTTCGTCGCGTTGTTCTTGACACATATAAATTCGTAAAAAAAAAAAAAAATAATAATAATAATAAAAATAAACGCATAAATTTCGTGGCAGGAGAATCTTTAAAAACCGTATTAATAATAATAATGTTAGTATTATTGATAAAGTTTTTGTTAGTGTTTTGTCTTGTCACTAGTTTTTAAGGCTAATCCTTTTATTATTAATAATAATAATAAAAATTTTCGAAGGTTTTTTTTTTTATTATTATTTAAAATATGTTTATCCGGGCTTAAAATTTACAAAAAAAAAAAAAAAAAAATCAAAAAAATTTTATTACGCTTTTTTTAAGATTATTATTTAGTTTATTATTATTATTGTTAATAATATTTTTTTAATTTTTTGATTAATATCTTGACTTCCTCGTCTATGAAATAAAGGTCGAGTCACTTAACTACCTTCTTTTAAAATTTTATGTATTTATGTCTATGGCCTATTTTTTTTATTTTATTTTATTTATTTATTCCTTGACTAAATTTTTGTTTTCGTCCCCATGGATTTGATTGTTTGTTTGCTTGTTGAAATTTTTTAACAATTAAATTTAATAATAAAAAATTATTGTTAAAGACTAAACTAAAAGTTTACCAAATTTTAAAACCAAATTGTTAGTTTTAGTTTTATGTTTTTTCTATTTTTTCTGTTTTTAATTTGACCTCATTACAATTTTTTCAACCCGTAAAAAAAAAACTGTTGCCCTTGACACAACTAATATGAAATTTTTTTTTTTTATTTATTTAATTATCATTAATCAATAAAATTATTCTATTTATTTACATAATTACGTATTCATAATAATGTCTTCTATCATTTAAAACAAAATCATTCCCGTATTTAAAATAAATTTACCAAGTTGAAATAAAATTCTATTATAAATAAAATGATAAAACACAAAAATATCTGTTTTCTTTTTGTTATCAGTTTTGTAATAATGTTTATGTTGTTAATGTTTCGACGTTAAAACAAAACATTGCGAGTAATTTAATTTAATAAATCAATTACATCTCTCTCTCTCTCTCTCTCTCTCTCTTTTTTATTTATTTACAAATTTATTTTTTGTGTGCAAATATACAACGTGATAAATTAATCGATTTAAAAAAAAAAACAAAATTCAAACCCGTAATTATTAATAAAAGGTTTTTGAATATATTAAACAAAAAAATTTGAGCTTGACCGTAATAACCCCTGTTAAAAAGATCCACCCACCGGGTGGGTAAAACCCCCCAAAAAATACCACAATATAAAAACCATTAAAAAAAAAAAAACCTTGTAATAAATATTTTTTAATATTAAATAATTTTGATTTATTATATCGATAATATAATCGAAATATCATACGATATACACAAATTTTATTGTATCGATCGATCTATCGATAGATCGATCGATCCATCGATTTATTTTATTAAAAAAAAATTTATCATAAATAAAAAAAGTTTTCAGTCGTCCCACGTAAAAATGAATGTGTTAGTTCAATGTAACTTTATAAACCGGAAATGCGTCATTTTTATTCAATAAAAAATTATCTTATTCATTTTGGCGGGATTATTAAGAAAATTCAAAAATAATATTAATTCGTTACTATTGATGATGATTTTTGTTTTTTTTTTTTTTTTTTTTTAAATCGATTTATTGATAAATCCGCCGGAAGTAGACATTTCGAATGTAACCGTTTTTTTTAAATTTAAATTTTTGTTTATTTTGGATAATTTCAAAGAGTTTATCGCCCGGTAAAATTACAACCGTCACAAAAAATAAAAATAAATTTTTTATTTTTCTCCCGTTGGATTTCGTACCTTTTTTTTTTTTAAACAATCCCACGGGATTATAGCTTCCCAAAAAAAAAAAAAAAAATCCCGAAATTTTTGTTAACAAATTACAACAAAAATAAATAAATAAGTCCCCGTAGCCATGACACGAATTCTATTTAACTCTTCATTTATAACGCTCTAATTAATTATTATTATTATTATTTTAATTTGATTAAGATTTGATTACCCTTTTAAATTCATTATTATTATTATTATTATTATTTTATTCCGTGATAATTTTATTAATTATTTATTACTCTCCTTATTCAATCATACTAATTTATTCAATTTATTTTCAATATGTTTAATATTACTTTTCGTAATAATAATAATAATAATTTTATTCCCAAAAAAAAAAAAATTATTTTCGCCATTTTGTTTTTTTTTTCAAATTTAATATTATTAATAATAATTATTTAAATATCACGTGATTTCTTACAATTATTTTAAATAAAATTTCTTAAAAACATTTATTTACAAAAAAAAAAATTAATTTTAAATTATTTCGATGAGTTTTTATTATTTTACCTTTTCCCACATTATCAACTACGTCATCAAATATTTATACGTTTAAATAAATAAATCATCGTTTAACGAAACATAAACTTATTAATTATTATTTATTTATTTATTTAAAAAATAAACAAATAAACTTTTACTTTTATTACTATTTAATAAAAAAGAAAAAGAAATTTGTTAAAAAATGTAAAATTTTGTCATTTTCTTCTTCTTTTTTTTTTTAATTAAAAATATTTATTATATAAATATTTTCTTTGAAAATAATAATAATAATAATAAGTATTATTATTTAAAATGTAAATAATAATAATATAAAATATATTTAATCTTATTAATTAATTTCGAAAAAGAAAATTTCAAAAACAAATAAATAAATATATATATTATATCAAAAATTTTCTCTCTCTCTCTCTCTTTCCCTCTCTCTCTTTATTTTCTTCGAATGTGGCTAAAAATCAAATTATTATTATTATTATTATTATTAAATAGAAGGCAAACTTTACAAATCGTTTTTTTTTTTTTTTTTGAAGGTTTATTATTGAATAATTCATAAAGGTTGAATTCAATACACCACACATAGAAAAATAAAATAGACGACGAATCCAATAAATTTTTTTTTTTTTAATGTTGGTAATCAAAACTAAAATTAAATTAATTTTATATAATTTATTTTTTCATCGGATCCTTTTATTAAAAAAACGTGCACGCGCACACACACACACACACACACCTGTCATTTTGCATATATTAATTAAATATTAATATGAAAATTTTTTTTTTTTTTGTAAAAAAAACGGAAATTAAATTCTTAACGCGTAATTATAAACAATTAAAATTTTCTTTTTTAAAAATTTAAATTTAAATTTAAAAAAAAAAAAACAATCGAAAGTTTATTAAAATAATAACAATAACAACAAACAACAACAACAAACAACTCCTTAAAATTTATCGTTCGATTATTTTAAATATTTTTTTTTTTTTTTTTCAACTTTAAAAAAAAATCAGTTTATTGACAACCATTTTTTTTTTTTTTTTTTTTTTTTTTGGCTATTATCCAATGCATCCCCGTCATTAATAAATTTTTTTTTTTTCGCTTCTATTAGTCGCGGTTTTTTTTTAGTTTTTTTAGTTTTTACGCAGCCATTTGCAATCCGTCTGCAAAAAAAAATATTTTCATTGGAAACGTTTTTTTTTTTTTTTTTTTTTTTTTTATAAAAAAATGCATTTCATATTTTTTTAAAAAATTAATTTAAAATATTTTTCAGACGTATCGTAATTATATTATTATTATTATTATTACGAAAATTCGTCATCGTTTATTAGTTTTTAGTTTAAATTTTCCTAACCTTTCACCATTAAATAATCTTCAAAAAAAAAAAAATAAATCTTGACCTTTATCTAGCTCATCTATAAAGATAAATTTCATATAAATATTTTCCATCTATGCGAATTCATTTCCGCATCCTAAAAACTAAATTTTTCAATTGTAAAAACTAAAAAAAACTAAATTCAATTTTTCCATTGAAATAAATCGTTTAATCGATTTTAGTTTAACTAAAAAAAATTTTCTGATGGGAAAAAAAAATTTAGTCAATCTCAACGAATTTTTCTATTTAACGTTTATTTAAATTTCCCCCTTTTATACCAGATTGCTGTTGTTGTTGTTGTTTAAATTATTTGTCGCTGTTGTTAATCCATTACCTACTAAAAAATATATATAAAAACTCTTTTAAACGAAATTTGAATGAATAATTTTAAACAGAAATTTGACCGATTTTTATTTAAATAAACAAAAAAAAATTATTTTTACTCTCCTACGAAAAAAAAAAACGTTAATTGTGATTTTTTAAAGAAAAGTCAAAAAAAATAAATTTCGTAATTATGTTAAAATGAAATTCAAATGCAATCAAAAAAAAGAAAAATTATTCATTAATTTAAAATTTTAATAGACTTATTAAACAAAAAAATTTAAATACAATCGAATTTAAACAATTTTTTTTTTTCCGTATATTTGAAAAACGACGACAGGAAGGAAGTGCGAACGCGAACGTACGACATATTGGAAATAATTTTTTTTTTGAAATGAAAATAAGGAAGAAAATTTTTTTTTTATAATTATTATTCTTAACAAAAGAAGAAAACCTAATATTAAAAACTTGGCATAGATGCCAAAGGACACAAAAAGATACCGAAAAAGAAGAAGAAACAATCATAACTTTAATCATAACTTTATGAAGAAAACAATAAAATTTTTTTAAGGATGCATTTTTAATTAATAAATAAATAAATAAATAAATAATTGATTAAATTTTTTTTTTAATAACAACAAATCTAACGTAATAATACTCACTATTCGTCAAATAATAATAATAATAATAATAACGTTGAAATTTTTATAACGTAAAATCGTAAAAAAAAATTTAATTCAACGTACATTCAAAGTGACGACTGTCATTCTTTTGCAATTGTTAAAATATTTATTATAATAATAATAATAAAATTATTTATTTACATATAGGAGGGATTGGCAAAAGAGAGAGAGAAGGGGAGAGTGAGAGAGAGAGAGAGAAAAAGAAAAATATTTTTTTTTATTTTAAAATTCAGGCTAAGAATATTTTTTTAAAATAAATTAAAAAGACAACATGATAAACTTATTCGTATTAACCTTAAGAAAATATTTTTATCCCATCCGCATGTAAAACAACGAGAGAGCCAACTTTTTTTTTTTTTTTGTCTACTACTAGAGACACTTTTTTTTTTTTTTTTTTTTGTGTAAAAATCGGTCGAGCTAACTTTGTGATTTAATATATACGCACACACACACACACACACACACACACGCACGCACACAAGCATATTATTAGTGTTTTAAAATTATTAAAACGTTACGTTTATTAATAATAATATTAAAAATTTTGTTGGTTGTTTTATTATTATTAAGTTTACTATAAGAACGCTTTAAGAACGCTTTCGTTTGTTTGTTTGTTGTTTGTTATTAAAAAGAAAAAAAAAATAAAAAACTTTTACTTTAAATATTTATTTACATTACGATTGTTTAAATAAATTATTATTGTTGCTAAAGAAATTTTTGGTTTTTTTTTTGTTTGTTATTTTTTTGTGTAAAAATTATGTTTAAAAGTTTTCGCGTCATCGAATCGGTATGAAAAAAAGAAAAAGAAAAAAAAAGAAAAAAGGAAAATTCGGTTTATGATTTGATATCAATAATAATAATACTCGAATGTTTTTTTAAAATAATTATAAATAAATAAACCAGTTGGCAAATTATTTATATATATAAAGTGTAGTAGTGTGGAGACTAGAGAAAAAGGTGTCACTCAATTAATAATAATAATAATAATAATAATAATAATAATAATAATTTATTTTAAAAACACGGATGCTGGTTTTCTTTTTTTTTTTTTAAATATTTTCCCGGTGTAGCCAAAATTTTAATTGCGTAGCTGACCTCAAAATTTATTTTTTTTTAAAAGAAACAAAAAAAAAATAAGAAACCGATTTTTTTTTTTTTATTTAATGATACATTTAGTGATAACTTATAAAAAAATTTTATATTTATATACCGTGGTATTATTATTATTATTATTATTATTATTTATATTTTCAAATAGAAAATCATTTGATAAAAATGTTATTAAAATGAGTAGATCGATTGGATTCGAATCGTCTGATTTAACCATACATTCTACAGATTCGGGAAAAACATCATTTAGATCGTTGTAAGTATAATTTTCCCGAAAACTTTTCCCGAGGAGGAAAATTAAAATGTCGAAATGTTTTTCTTTTTTTCGGTTATTTTCATGTTTTTTTCATTGATTTCCTCATTACACCGTAAAAACAATATTTAAAATGTAAAAACGTTTGATAATTTTTTAAAATGACTCACACAATTATAAATAAATAACGAATTTTTTTTTTTTTTTAAATATTTAAAATAATTCAAGAAAATAATAATAATAATAATAAAGACGTACGAATTTTTTGAAATGGAAACTTAATTAAAATACAAACAAACGAACGAATTTAAAAAAAAAAATTTTTAACACCTAATGTCGACTTTATATGACACCAAGTATGACAGGTTGTTGTTGTTGTTGTTTTTTGTCGTACAAATTCGCGACATTTAAATTGCGTGGGAGTCATCATAGTTTTTATAAAAAACCTATTATTTCCTTAACTGAAAAAAGTGTTGAAAGAATTTAAAATAAAGAAACAAACAAACGAACAAACAAAAGAAAAAAAAAATGTATTCTTTATTTTTTTTTACGATGGCATTTTTAAATTGGGTTCGATAAATGAACAGACAAACACACACGTCACGACTTAAATATTTCAAAAACGGTTTTGATTGAATAATAATAATAATAATGATAATAATATTTTTAAAATGGTTTGAAAAGATTTCGACAAATTATGATGACGACAAGTACACGATTGTCGCCAATAAGAAAGCAGTAAAATCATTTCGTGTTGTTTTTTTTTTTTATATCTTCCATTTATTAACGACGGGTATAATTTATATAAAAACTTGGGTAAAGGAGTTTGATGACGATGGAAGGGAAAGTTTATGGGATCACACGAATTGAATGAATTTATTATTATTATTATTAAATAGAAACATAAAAGTGATCTTTTTTTTTCTTTTCTCTGTTCATTTCTCATATTCGTTGTGTCTGATGACGTTAACGATTTTTTTTTTTATAAAAGTTTCAAATATTAAAAAAAATTGAGTTCAATGTGGAATTTCGATTTTAGGTACAGACAATCTCGATTCAGTTCGCGAAGAGTTCGTAAAAGAGTCGTTTTTAAACATGGCGATGTTAATGTCATACAAGGGAACGTTGCAAAAAGAAGAAGAAAATATTTACAGGATATATTTACAACCCTTGTCGACGCACAATGGAGATGGACTCTACTTGTTTTTAGCTTAAATTTTCTATTAAGTTGGTTATTATTCGCAGTAAGTAGTATTTAGCTTATTTAAATGTTATGTCGTAAGAAGATGAATGATTGATTTATTTTTTTTTTTTTAGTTAATATGGTGGCTCATTGCTTTTTCACACGGAGATTTAGACCCTAAAAACAATGCCATAGTTGCTGCTTACACGAATGAAACATTTCAAAATCCACATTGGGTGCCTTGCGTAGTGGGAATAAATAGTTTTGCTTCTTGCTTTTTATTCAGTGTCGAAACTCAACATACGATCGGGTTTGGGACACGTTCGACAAGCGAAGAATGTCCAGAAGCTATTTTTGTCATGTGTATACAAAGTATAGTGGGTAAGTTACAAATTTAAAAAAAAAAAAAAAATTCCCCCCCCCTCTCCACATCACAAATCTTAATTCCACGTCAAAATATTTGAATTTTTTTTTCCCTTCAGACGAATTCTATTGCCACTTTAAAACGTATTACGTAATCGAAATCATTATTTTACAACAGTCTCACTATCTTAAGTACATAAATTAATTAAAATTGATCATTATTCGTAATTTACAAAAAGTAATTAAGAAAATGAAAAAAACCGTAATTTAAGATTACAATTAAATTTTATGATTTTGTTGTTGTTTTATTATCGTTTTTTTTTTTTTTTTTTTTTTTAAATTTCAGGTGTTATGATTCAAGCTTTTATGGTCGGTATTGTTTTCGTTAAACTTTCCAGACCTATTAAAAGAACTCACACTCTACTTTTTAGCAGAAACGCAGTTATATGCCAAAGAGACGGCGTTCTCTGTCTTATGTTTCGAGTGGGAGACATGAGAAAATCTCACATAATAGAAGCTCATGTTCGAGCACAATTAATTCGCCGTAGGGTAATTATAAAAATTTATTTTAACTTTTATAGTTCTGCTAAAAAAACTTTTTTTTTTTTTTTTCTCCACTCTACTATTTATATATTCATTCCATATGTGTGTTGAAGGAGAAAAAAAATTAGTCACTTCCGTTAATAATAAAATAATAATTTTTTTTAACTTTGGCAGATAACCAGGGAAGGTGAACTATTACCATTTTATCAAGAAGAATTAAAAGTGGGGGGTGACGGAGAAGAAGATAGAATATTTTTTATAT